AGCTCTAGTCCGGAAACTTTTTGAATGCTATACATGTATAATGTCCATAATATTAACAATTCTCTTGAAATATTTTTATACATTTATTTTATTCAAATTTAAAACAAAAAGAAAAACAATATATAATAATTATTGAAAAACTTGAATACGATCTCCGACACGAATAAAAGCGTGATCATATATTTTTGAAAGATTCAATAAAATTCCAAAATTTGCTCTTAATGAATTTATTTCTCTTCGTTGTGTTTGTAAACGAGTAAAAAGATGACTTCGATTATTTCCAGTTAATGGATCAATATTAACTATTGAACATCGTTGACATAAACCAATTGTTTTCAATTCAATATTATATTCATTTAAAATAATTAAACGTTTCCATAAATCTTCACTATAAGCTGAATATGATTGATTCATATATTGTTTATTAACAACTAAATTTGGTCGAAAACGTTCATGTGTTATTTTTTCATTTTCAATTAAATTCGTTCTAATTTGTCTAACACTTTCTTCATGTACAAGAAGAAAAGCACCTTCATTTGCTAATGTCATTTGGCTATCTGTTGTACGACGAGCTAATGTTGCATAAATACCTAAAACTTGAATTAACCATTGTTCAATTTCACCACCATAAACATGACACATTATTCCATCATTTAAATTTACAGTTGATTTAATTATTGTCGAATCTAAAAAATTTCACAAAAAAAAACAAGATAAAATTAAAAAGAATTCTTAAAAATATCTTATAAACCATTATTAATATCAATAATAAATGATGGATGATTATTTGCATTGAGTATAAGTTGATTTTGTTTTAAATTAATAAATGGTTTTATTTGTGATAAAGATGGTAAACGTTTAAGTGTTAATGGATTTAAATTTTGATCAATAATTATCCATTCACGATCATATAAAAATGATATTGATGTTAATGGCCATTCTTTAACCGATATTGAACCACAAGATTTTATTGGATAAATATAAATATGAGTTAAAATTAAATTTATTTCTTCATTATATCCATTATTTATTGATAAAGATGATAATAAAGACGCAATTCCAATACCTTGTAAAATAATTTGACGAAGAAAATTAATCCAACATTGAATATCTTCATATCGACTCATCCAACCAAGACTTAAACGAATACTACCTAATGGTTGATGACCAGAATCTAAAACATCTTCACCATCAGTATTTGTACCACAAAAAAGTCCACGACGACATACATGACTATTTTCGAATGATTTACTTGAACCTAACATAGAAAAAAATTCACAGTGATTTTCAAATTATGACAAATGTATGAAAAATCGTAGTCTCCGCAAAACTTATATCAAGTTTTGGCGTATGATTCATGCAAGATCATATTATCTGTACGATCTTTTCGAAAGACCATATACGATTTTATAAAGTAGTCAGATATTGTAAGAATCGTATGCCATGACCTGATTTAAGCTTTGGAGAGATCATAAATTCCCTTATTCAAGTCAAACAATCAGATGAAAACCGGTAAAACAAAATCTTAATCTCAAAAATATGATACCCACGAGGAAACAGCTTCAACAGATCCCTTCCGATCTTAGTATTTTCTTTGTCTATAGATACTGCATAGTGTTCTAATAGAAATCCTAAAAGGGCTTGAGTTTCTATTGATATTTGACGAAATTTTCGAATTTTTATTATGTATGTTTTCTAGACCACACAATTTCGGAAAACTCGTGTTCTCGAGTTTCGATCTGAAACTTTGTGCATATAGAAAACTCAACTAGAGTAATTTCAATAAAAAAATCCACAAATTTTAAACAAAATCTCTTTGAGACATGAAACTTCAAAAAACTGCATGTTGTATACACTATCCATGGAAAAAAGGTCTATATTTTGAAAGTCTCATACTTCGAAAAGATTTAAACTTGTGATTTTTTTTATAGAAGTTTGTTTAGTTGAGTTCTCTATATACACAAAGTTTCAGATCAAAATTCGAAACTACAAGTTTTCTGAAAACCTGTGATCCAACTAATAGGCATATTGAAAATTCAATACCGTAGTCAAATATCAATAGGAACCTAAATCCTTTTAGAGGTTTTATTCGAACACTATGTAGTATCTATAGACAAAAAAAATCATTGAAATTGTAAGAGAACATCTGAAGAGGTTCCTTCGTAAGTCATAGTATAAGATTCTTACAAGACCTTGCTGCCTTGTAAGATATTACTCTAAGAGTATAGGAAAATTTTATGTGACGCTAAGATCTTTCAAGAATCTTATAGTACGATTTAGTGTAAGATTTCTAAGACTACGATTTTTTGTATGACTTCATCTAATTTTACAAGACCTTACGTCTGATGTTTTGACCTGGGAACGTTCTTGTCTAATTTGTTAAAAGATCTTACAAGATAAGATATGCATGATGAAAGATCTGATGGTTTCATTGTGTGACTTGGGTTCTTGTTTTCAAACTGCAGTTACTAATGTTTATGATAGCTCCTTCACTATCATAGTGTCGATGACCAACGATGTACGGAAGCAAATTTTTTTGGTCTCGGTCTAGAGAAAATTATTCGGCAACTTATTCGTATCACATCTAGAAATATTCTTCAATACTGATCTTTTGATTTATTTAGTCGACGGCTAACACTTTTTTGAGTCATCTCTCTTGACTTATGTTCTAATTAATGATTTATAAAATAATTCGCTTAAAAACCATAAAATATTTAATTATAGTCGATAGTTTCGTTCGAGGTAACTTCTTCTCGTAGTCTCGGCCCCACACATCTCTATGATGACTCATACATCTTTTCTCCAGACAAATAAAATATAAAATAAATTATTTAAAAATTTTAACAATCTTACCAAGATAAGCTTGACTTGCACCGGGTGCACAAAATGTTCCTACTCTTAAAATAATATTATGATCAGCAGCAATTCTTTGAATTAAACGACAAGAAAGAAATTGTCCATGTATGTTATATAAATTAAAATTTAAAATTGGTCCATATGAATAACCATGTTCATATATGAAATTATTTCTTACATCATAAAATAAACAAAGATTTTGTCCATTTGAATAATTTAATTTTAACATTTCATTTCTACAATAATCAATTAAACATTGTGTATGTAATGATATGTATTTATATGATAATTTATATGTTATTAATTGAAAACCATGAGAAATTGAAAGAATTGTTGTAAATGGAATTGTTCCATGAATAAATCCATTAATACCAGATTTATATTCAACACGTGAATCATCATATGGTGATATATATTCTACACTACCACCACCAAAATAATTTTCTTTATTAAGTATTTTTAATGATTCATTTCGTATAATTAATGCACCTAAACCAGTTGGGTAACCAAAAATTTTATAAAATGATAAAACAACAAAATCAACTGGATACAATGAAAGTGAAAATGATTTTGTTGATAAATATTTTGCACAATCAATTAATGTTAACCAATGACATTTTTCCGATGGATATCGATGTATTGGTATAGGAAAATTTTTTATTTGATTTTCTCGTGCATTTATAAATGGTCCTAAAAGTTTATCAAGTGGTGGTCGAAGTCCATTAAAATTATTTTCTGCCGGCGTTGCAAATAGACAATAATATGGAACAGTGGATTCCATATCAGATGATAGACACGGTGATGAACGACAAGCACAACGAAAAGACCAATCTTCGTCTGGATTACTTTCTTGATTATAAATTTGTAAAGGATAATCAATTATTGAAAATGAACCACCTTTTAGTTTAACTTGTTGTCGAATACCAATAAGACTATTATGACTATCAATCATATAAGCATATTCAGATTTTGATGAGAATGGAAATAATGATGATAATAATTGACATGCATGAGTTGTATTTAATGTAAATATAATTGAATAATAACGACTTGATGTATCAAATATTGATAAAATTAATTCTATACATTCTTGAATTAATAATAATGATTTTGAATCTTCTTGTTCACTATGTGGATTATTTAATGTTAATGTACGAAGTTGATTAAAATGTTCATCTAATTGTGTTTGAGTATATAATGTTGTACCAGCATGATCAAGATATATTCGATTTGAAGGATAATGATTTGAAAATTCATTTTTATATATTTCATCTATTGTTCCATTATATCCATCTAATTAAAATATTAAATTTAAGACATTCTTTTTAATAGAAAAAAATTCTTGAAAACTTACATTCAGGATGAGCAGCTATAAATTCTTGCTTATCCATTGTGTTATTTAATGTGTATACACATTCAAGTGTAATATCTTATCTTTTATTTGTCTTTCTCATTATTGTCACACCTTTAATCTTTCTTTCTTTCTTTATATTTATTTATGTTACTTAGAAAGACTAACAAGAAGGAGAATAACATATCAGTGTTAATTTTGAATCAACAGTATCTTAATGATTTTATTTATTAACTAAGATGACATCAAGGACAGAAACAAATGAGTACGCTGGGGTACATAAATACAAATAAACTTCTTTTTGTTTTGAATTTATTACTTTGAAACTAGCTGAATTATCATGATTATTTGATCAATGTGAAAAAAAAACAAATTTTTAATACTAAAATTATAAGTATCAATTATATACAGTAGTGGACAAAAATCTCCGCTTTCGAGAATATCAATCATTATAATTATCGGAAACCTGAAAATTTTTTTGTGTGCATACTTCGTTAAGAGTATAGATCGGAGTCATGATTCTGCTTCGATTGCTTAAGTACAAAGAGAATTATGATGGATGACATTCACTTTTGCATTACTTTTTATCAAATATATGATTAATTTTTGATGTTTTTGAGTGAACCTGGAGTTCAATCTATGATTGTTCTTTACTCAAAAGAGGAGTTCATTTGCTTAAATATTGACGTCTCTGGATGTTTCTGAATCCTTCGTCTTATTAACAGGATGCCCATAGCTATGCTATTTTCCATAAGTACATAGTTTGTTTATAAAATTTGTAGGCACTAATGTCGAACTGTAGTGGTAGCTTTTCCAAGAGTTTGAGCTTCATTTACTGAATTACAACTGCATTCTCGTCTCAAAAGTATAACAGATGATTTTTCTCCACATCCTAAGCAAACAAACTTTTGAAAAAACGCGTTTAAACGCACCAAAATTGGCAAAAAGTGAACGGTTTTGGCTCACACTTGCGGTTCTCGACTGTGAACGGTCCCTTAAAGCAAAGGAAAGGACATGAAACTAGAAAAAATATTTTCTCTGATGATGTCATCATCAGTCAACGTAGATCCATTCTTCAATTTTCATCAAAATATTTTCATCGAAAAAATAAAAGTGATTATTGATAAATATATTACTTGTTACTGAGTAAATGAATTTTTGAATCAGTAAACTAAATTAATTACTGAAACTTTAATTTTAATACTCAGCAAACAATTAGTTAACTGAACATTGAATTTTATACTGATAGTTTGATTTCTTTAATGTAAATTTGTATATAATACTGAACAAATTTTACTGAACATTTAATTTGTCCCCATTTTTTTTTGTTACCACAGCTGATAAATATTGAGGAAGATATAATAAAATATATTATTTCAATATAAAATTGTAATTTTAATTTAAGTAGTTGAAGATTTATTAATTACCAAATGATAATTATTGTTTATTTGATAAAAAAAAAAAGATTTTTATTAGTAATATTAGATCATATGTTTAAAAAATCAAATATTAATAATGTTAATTAAATAACATCGAAAATAATTGAATATATAATTAAGAAAAATTAATAATGAACAATCCATTTACTATTCGACATGTAAAAAAAATGATATTCCTGTTCTTTGTCTTCCTCAAATCGATGGTTCTATTGGTAATTGGTTTTTTTCTCATATGTTGAATCCATATATTGTTTCAACTGATATATTACATCAAAGAAATGAATGAATCCTAACTGTGTTACTACTTGAGCTAGACTTTTATCATATATGCTTTGGTAAAGATCACATTTAGGTTTGGATCATCGTTCGAAGAGAACCATTAGGTTTGTCTGAGTAAAAAAATTCAATATTTGGAGTTTAGCAATCAGTTGATTGGTAAATGACTTTTTTTTCTCGCTGTTTATTGAAATATCAAATATTCATCTATCAGAAACCAAACAGATATAAACGATTATAATATGATATTTCTTCTTTGAGATTTCTAAAAATCTGAATGTATAAAGAAAAATGAACGAATGTTTTTTGAAGCCATTTCCACTAATCAATCCAACAAACAGGGCGGACTGGACCAGTTTAAAAATTCTCGATCGACTATAACTCTGACATAGATTGTGATGTATGGCAAATTTAAGTTTTTTTTTTATTTACTGGATATCCAAATGAATATATGTATAAAAAACAAAAGAATTTTGATATTTCTTAAACTTTTCTTGAAAAATTACATTCATTAGATAACTTAATACAATAATAATTTATATTAAATAAAATTACTTTTTTTTAATTTTTAAAGACTAAAATAAAATTATTAGTTTTTTTCATTTATACAAGAGAGAATTATCCTTGAATAGCTACGAAAAGCTTTATCTTCTCGATGATATTTTTATTCCATAAATAAATGAAATAATAATATTTATTATTTTCATTATAAGAAGATAAATACACAAAAAAAAAACGTGACATTCGTATGAATTTAAAAGAAAAAAAAAGATGATTCTCATAGGAAC